TGGAACACATCTCACCATGCTAAGACAGTGGATGTGGCTCTTAATGAGACATGCCGCATTATCAGGGGGTGTCTGCGCCCTACACCATTGGAGAAATTACACTGCTTAACCGGTAGCAGCCAATAGTGAAAGGACCAAGGCAGAGACATCTCCAGCCCATCCCCTGTTTGGGTATCAGCCAGCACGTCAACAACTTAAATCAAGAAATAGTTTTTTAAGATCTACAGAGACGCTCGCCTCAGCAAGCGAGAGTCCAAAAGTGGCAGGCTCAAACCCAGAATCTCAACCAATGACTGATACCAAATGAGAGACTCCCACCTGGGCACACAGAGGACGGGGCAACTTGGAAGGCGCTGAGCAGACTGCACTCTGGCACCACGGGATGCAGAGCCAACCTCAAGAAATGGGGCCACAAAGTGGAGTCCACGACATGCGAGTGTGGAGAAGAGCCAACCACTGACCACCTGCTGCAATGCAACCTGAGCCCTGCCACATGATGCACAAGGGAGGACCTTCTTGCAGCAACACCAGAGGCACTCCAAGGGGCCAGGTACTGGTCAAAGGAGATTTAATCCACTATCAAGCTCACAAATTGTGTATTCTGTCTGGTTGTCTGCTTTGTTCTGTTAGAAATGAGTGGTTGCCCTGACACGACAAATAAAAATAAATATTTCCAAGTAGGTGAAGTATAAGTCCTGAAATGGAGGGTCAGTTTTCCCCAAATTCCACAGGCGCGGGCTCTGAGATCCACCGGGGAGGCCCTTCTCTCGGTCCCACCACTGTCTCAAGTGGGGTTGGCGGGGATGAGAGAGAAGGCCTTCTTAGTGGTGGCTCCCCAGCTCCGGAATGTCCTTCCTAAGGAGCTCAGGACGGCCTCCACCCTTCACCCTGGAGGTGGGTTCCTCCTTCCCTCCCTCCCTCCCTCCCTCCCTCCCTCCCTCCCTCCCTCCCTCATGGGTCGCACGCCCCCTGCCGGCCTGTGGCCTCTCTGCGCGGAGGAGGGTGAAGAAGGGCGAGGGAAGAGCACTTAATGTATTGTCGAAGGCTTTCATGGCTGCAATCACTAGGTTCTTGTGGGTTTTTCCGGGCTATAGAGCCATGTTCTAGAGGCATTTCTCCTGACGTTTCGCCTGCATCTATGGCAAGCATCCTCAGAGGTAGTGAGGTCTGTTGGAACTGGGAAAAAGGGGTTTCTATATCTGTGGAATGATGACCAGGGTGGGACAAAGGACTCTTGTCTGCTGGAGCTAGGTGGGAACGTTTCAGCTGGCCACCTTGATTAGCATTGGATGGGCTGGCATTGCCTGGGGCAATCTTTTGTTGACAGGTGATTAGGTGTATGGGTTGTAGGTTTTTTCGGGCTCTATGGCCATGTTTTAGAGGCATTTATCCTGACGTTTCGCCTGCATCTATGGCAAGCATCCTCAGAGGTAGTGAGGTCTGTTGAAACTGGGAAAAATAGGACAATGGGTTTATATATCTGTGGAATGACCAGGGTGGGGCAAAGAGCTCTTCTCTGCTGGAGCTAGGTGTGAATGTTTCAGCTGACCACCTTCATTAGCATTTGAAGGCCTGGCTGAGCCTGGGAAAATCTTTTGTTGAGAGGTGTTAAGATGTGCCTAGTTGTTTCCTCTCTGCTGTTTTGCTGTTGTAATTTTAGAGTTTTTTTAATACTGGTAGCCAGATTTTGTTCATTTTCATGGTCTCTTCCTTTCTGTTGAAATTGTCCACATGCTTGTGGATTTCAATGGCTTCTCTGTGTAGTCTGACATGGTGGTTGTTGGTGTGGTCCAGCATTTCTGTGTTCTCAAATAATATGCTGTGTCCAGGCTGGTTCATCAGATTTTCCCAGGCTCAGGCAGGCCTTCGAATGCTAATGAAGGTGATCAGCTGAAACATTCACACCTAGCTCCAGCAGAGAAGAGCTCCTTGCCCCACCCCAGCCATTCCACAGATATATAAACCCCCTTTTTCCCCAGTTCCAGCAGACCTCACTACCTCTGAGGATGCTTGCCATAGATGCAGGCGAAACGTCAGGAGAGAATGCCTCTAGACCAGTGGTTCTCAACCTTCCTAATGGCGTGACCCCTTAATACAGTCCCCCATGTTGTGGTGACCCCCAACCATAATATTGTTTTCATTGCTACTTCATAACAGTCATTTTACTACTGTTATAAATCATAATGTAAATATCTGATCTGCAGGATGCATTTTCATTCACTGGACCAAACTGGGCACAAATACCCAATACACCCAAATGTGAATGCTAGTGGGGTTGGGCGAGGATTGATTTTGTAATTTGGGAGTTGTAGTTGCTAGGATTTATAGTTCACTTATAATCAAAGAGCATTCCGAACTCCACCAGCGATGGATTTGAACCAAACTTGGCTCCCATGACCAATGGAAAACACTGGAAGGGTTTGATGGGCATTGACGTTGAGTTTCGGAGTTGTAGTTCACCTACATCCAGAGAGCACTGTGAACTCATGCAATGGTGGATCTGGACCAAACTTGGCATGAATACTCAATATGCCCAAATGGGAACACTGGTGGAGTCCGGGGAAAATAGATCTTGACATTTGGGAGTTGTAGTTGCTGGGATTAATAGTTCATTACAATCAAAGAAAATTGCTGGAAGAAACATTCACAACCTCAGATATGCAGATGACACCACTCTGATGGCCGAAAGTGAGGAGGAGCTGAGGAGCCTTCTAATCAAGGTGAAAGAAGAAAGCGCAAAAGCCGGGTTGCAGCTAAACGTCAAAAAAACCAAGATTATGGCAACAAGAATGATTGACAACTGGGAAATAGAGGGAGAAAATGTGGAGGTGACAGACTTTGTATTTCTAGGCGCAAAGATGACTGCAGATGCAGACTGTGGCCAGGAAATCAGAAGACGCTTCCTTCTTGGGAGGAGAGCAATGTCCAGTCTCGATAAAATAGTGAAGAGTAGAGACATCAGACTGGCAACAAAGATCCGCCTAGTCAAAGCCATGGTATTCCCTGTAGTCACCTACGGATGTGAGAGCTGGACCTTAGGGAAGGCTGAGCGAAGGAAGATCGATGCTTTTGAGCTGTGGTGTTGGAGTAAAGTTCTGAAGAAGATCCAACCAGTCCATCCTCCAGGAAATAAAGCCCGACTGGTCATTGGAGGGAAGGAGTTGTTGTTGTTCATTCGTTCAGTCGTCTCCGACTCTTCGTGACCTCATGGACCAGCCCACGACAGAGCTCCCTGTCGGCCGTCACCACCCCCAGCTCCCTCAAGGTCAGTCCAGTCACTTCAAGGATGCCATCCATCCATCTTGCCCTTGGTCGGCCCCTCTTCTTTTTCCTTCCATTTTCCCCAGCATCATTGTCTTCTCTAAGCTTTCCTGTCTCCTCATGATGTGGCCAAAGTACTTCAACTTTGTCTCTAGTATCTTTCTCTCCAGTGAGCAGTCGGGCTTTATTTCCTGGAGGATGGACTGGTTGGATCTTCTCGCAGTCCAAGGCACTCTCAGAACTTTCCTCCAACACCACAGCTCAAAAGCATCGATCTTCCTTCGCTCAGCCTTCCTTCCCGAAGGTCCAGCTCTCACATCCGTAGGTGACTACAGGGAAGACCATGGCTTGGACTAGGCAATGGATCTTTGTTGCCAGTGTGATGTCTCTACTCTTTACTATTTTATCGAGACTGGACATTGCTCTCCTCCCAAGAAGGAAGCGTCTTCTGATTTCCTGGCCAGTCTGCATCTGCAGTAATCTTTGCACCTAGAAATACAAAGTCTGTCACGGCCTCCACGTTTTCTCCCTCTATTTCCCAGTTGTCAATCATTCTTGTTGCCATAATCTTGGTTTTTTGATGTTTAGCTGCAACCCGGCTTTTGCGCTTTCTTCTTTCACCTTGATTAGAAGGCTCCTCCTCGCTTTCGGCCATCAGAGTGGTGTCATCTGCATATCTGAGGTTGTTGATGTTTCTTCCAGCAATTTTCACCCCAGCCTTGCATTCCTCAAGCCCCGCACATCCTCGCATGATGTGTTCTGCATACAAGTTAAAAAGGTTGGGTGAGAGGATGCAGCCTTGCCGGACGCCTTTCCCAATCTTGAACCTGTCTGTTGTTCCGTGGTCAGTTCTGACTGTTGCTCCTTGGTCCTTGGACAGATTCCTCAGGAGAGAGGGGAGGGGGCTTGGGATGCCCATCCCACTAAGAACTTGCCACAATTTATTATGATCCACACAGTCAAAGGCTTTAGAATAGTCAATGAAGCAGAAGTAGATGTTTTTTCTGAAACTCCCTGCCTTTCTCCATTATCCAGCGGATATTGGCGGGAAGGAGACTAGAGACAAAGTGGAAGTCCTTTGAATGCCACATCATGAGGTGACAGGAAAGCCTAGAGAAGGGAATGATGCTGGGGAAAGTGGAAGGCAAAAGGAAGAGGGGCCGACCAAGGGCAAGATGGATGGATGGCATCCTTGAAGCGACTGGACTGACCTTGAGGGAGCTGGGGGTGGTGGCGGCCGACAGGGAGCTCTGGCGTGGGCTGGTCCATGAGGTCACGAAGAGTCGGAGACGACTGAACGAATGGACAACAACAACAATCAAAGAACATTCTGAACTCCACCAACCATAGAATTGGCTCAAACTTCCCGCATGGAATCCCCATGACCATCAGAAAATACTGTTTTCTGATGGTCTTTGGCGACCCCACTGACACCCCCTCGCGACCCCCTCAGGGGTCCCGACCCCCAGGTTGAGAAACACTGCTCTAGAACATGGCCCAAGAGCCCGGAAAAACCTACAAGAACCTAGAAGAGCACTTATTTTCTGCTTTGGCCGCTTCCCCTTTAAACATGCAAATGAGCCCCGCGTCAGCCGGCCTGCCTGCCTGCCTGCCTGTCTCCCCGGGCGGCCAATCGGGAGCGAGGCTGCTCCGCCGAGGCCCCGCCCACCCACGCACCCGTGCGCGCTCGAGAGCGGGAAGCGTGACGTCCCTCAAGCCCCGCCCCCTCGGCGCCATTTTGGGCGGAGGAAGAGCTGGCGGCAGAGAGACTGAGGTGAGCAGAGAGAGAGAAGCAGGGTTGGAAAGGCCATGTTCTAGAGGCATTCTCTCCTGACGTTTCGCCTGCATCTATGGCAAGCATCCTCAGAGGTAGTGAGGTCTGTTGGAACTAGGAAAAAGGGTTTATATATCTGTGGAATGACCAGGGTGGGACAAAGGACTCTTGTCTGCTGGAGCTAGGGGTGAATGTTTTAACTGACCACCTTGATTAGCATTTGATATCCTGGCAGTGCCTGGAGCAAACTTTTGTTGAGAGCCCTCCCCCCCTCCCCCCCCCCCACCCCCAAGGCTGGTCATAATAATAATAATAATAATAATAATAATAATAATAGAGACCATGAAAATGAACAAAATCTGGCTACCAGTATTAAAAAACTCTAAAATTACAACAGCAAAACAGCAGAGAGGAAACAACCAGGCACATCTTAACACCTCCCAACAAAAGATTTTCCCAGGCTCAGCCAGGCCTTCAAATGCTAATGAAGGTGGTCAGTTGAAACATTCACACCTAGCTCCAGCAGAGAAGAGGTCTTTGCCCCACCCCAGTCATTCCACAGATATATAAACCCATTTTTCCTAGTTCCAACAGACCTCACTACCTCTGAGGATGCTTGCCATAGATGCAGGCGAAACGTCAGGAGAGAATGCCTCTAGTCTAGAACATGGCCATATAGCCCGAAAAAACCTACACCAGCAAACAAGAGTCCTTTGTCTCACCATGGTCATTCCACAGATATATAAACCCTTTTTCCTAGTTCCAACAGACCTCACTACCTCTGAGGATGCTTGCCATAGATGCAGGCGAAACGTCAGGATAGAATGCCTCTAGAACATGGCCCGATAGCCCAAAAAAACCCACAAGAACCTAATAATAATAGTCTTCTATATAAATAAAAATGTAATTCAAAACCCACGGGGTGAATTAACACCAAATTTGGGCAGAATGAACCTCTCAGGCCAACGAGGGACCATCACTATAGAGTCAGGGTTGAAGGACTCAAGAATGCCAAGAAACGTATCTTCAAAGTGGGTCGTTGTAGGTTTTTTCGGGCTATATGGCCATGGTCTAGAGCAGGGGTCCTCAAACTAAGGCCCGGGGACCGGATGCGGCCCTCCAAGGTTATTTACTTGGCCCTCGCTCAGGGTCAACCTAAGGCTGAGAGGAGACATGATGAGGGCCATGTATCAATATGTGAGAGGAAGCCACAGGGAGGAGGAGGAGGAGGGAGCAAGCTTCCTTTCTGCTTCCCTGGAGACTAGGACGCAATGGAACAATGGCTTCAAACTACAAGAGAGGAGATTCCATCTGAACATGAGGAAGAACTTCCTGACTGTGAGAGCTGTTCAGCAGTGGAACTCTCTGCCCCAGAGTGTGGTGGAGGCTCCTTCTTTGGAGGCTTTTAAGCAGAGGCTGGATGGCCATCTGTCAGGGGTGATTTGAATGCAATATTCCTGCTTCTTGGCAGAATGGGGTTGGACTGGATGGCCCAGAGGTCTCTTCCAACTCTTTGATTCTAGGATTCTGTGACAAAGACAGGACACAACTCTCCCTGATCTCTCTTCCTTAAAGGAAGGTCTTTACTTATCTATCCGAACGTATCTCAGCCTATCAGCCCACCAGGACCCTAAGATCTTCTGGAGAGTCCCTGCTCTCTATCCCACCGGCTTCCCAAGTGCGGCTGGTGGGAACGAGAGACAGGGCCTTTTCTGTGGTGGCCCCTCGGCTTTGGAACACCCTCCCTATAGAGATACGATCAGCCTCTTTGCTGATGGTGTTTCGGAAGAGATTAAAAACATGGTTGTGTAAACAAGCATTCAATTAGTTTGTTACTATTGAATTTATAGACTAAGGACTGGTTAACTATGGATGACGAACTCTGGACTGTGATTTTTGTGACGAGAAGCATGGTGTTATTATTGGTGGCCCAATAATTTGTATTGTTTACGTGTTGTTGTTTTAAATTGTACATTGCTTTTAATTGCTGTAAACCGCAATGAGTCGCCGATTTAGGCTGAGATATTAGCGGTATACAAGTGTATTAAATAAATAAATAAAATAAATAAATTGTCCGATGGGACAAACAGTGGGATTTCTAGTATGGGACTTGGGGGCACTGCTCAAACGTCCCCTGGGCAATGGCCTTGCAGGCGGCCTGTTCTCTCACACCAGAAGCAAAATCGCTCCTCACACACACACACACACACACACACACACACACAAAACCTTTGACCAGAACCTGGCCACTTGAAGTGCCTCTGGTGTCCCTGTGAGAAAGAAGGTCCTCCATTGTGCATGTGGCAGGGCTCAGGCCACATTGGGGTCAGTGGACTGCACTTTGTGGCCCCATTTCCTAAGGTCGGCTCTGCGTGTTGTGGTGCCCAAGTGCAGCCCAATCAATGCCTCCAAGTCACCCCGTCTGCTGTGTGCGCAGGAGGGAGTCTCTCCTCTGGTATCACGCATGGACTGAGGTTATATACATTGGAAACCTCTTCCTTGATGGCCTTCCTCCTGCTTGCACCAGAGGAAGTAGATGTTGAGGACACAAATATGTGAGAGGAAGCCACAGGGAGGAGGAGGAGGGAGCAAGCTTCCTTTCTGCTTCCTTGGAGACTAGGACGCAATGGAGGAATGGCTTCAAACTACAAGAGAGGAGATTCCATCTGAACATGAGAAAGAACTTCCTGACTGTGAGAGCCGTTCAGCAGTGGAACTCTCTGCCCCGGAGTGTGGTGGAGGCTCCTTCTTTGGAAGCTTTTAAACAGAGGCTGGATGGCCATCTGTCAGGGGTGATTTGAATGCAATATTCCTGCTTCTTGGCAGAAAGGGGATGGACTGGATGGCCCATGAGGTCTCTTCCAACTCTTTGATTCTAGGATTCTGTGACAAAGACAGGACACAACTCTCCCTGATCTCTCTTCCTTAAAGGAAGGTCTTGTCAAATGGTCAGCCAGTTCTGTTATAAGATCATCAAGACGGTCCTTTACATGCTTTCTTAAAACTTCCTCACTTTTGTCTTCATATGGCATGAAAGGGATCTCAAGGTGCTTGCTCCTACTTGAGTTACTTGCTTGTGATTCCTCATCACGGTCAACATCCTCCCTTCCCTTTGTCTTGGTTCTCTTCATCTTGCATTCTCTCACATTTCCACCACTGCCACCTCTCACGCTTCCAGGGCCCTCTGATGCTTTCTTCCTTCTTTTTTGTTGTGTGTTGCTTGCATGTTCTTAAGGTGAAAAGCACATGCTGCCTATTACAATCAGTTGTAATAGGCAGCAAGAGCTCCTAAAGCTTCAGAGAGCGTCTGTTCAACCATCTCAAAGCTCCCTGCTTGGGCGGTGATGGCATGGTCGTCAGTATAGATCAAACTCTCTGTCCCTTCTGGCAATGGCTGGTCATTTGTGTAAATATTAAACCTCGATGGAGCAAGAGCTCTTGATCGCAGACTTTCCTCCTTTTCTTATATTGCCAGCATTTTCTGGTGTTTCATTTTTATGGTGCTGTAAAATACCTTCCTGCTTAAGCAATGGCCAGTTTCTCTACTCACAGCTCACAACTGTTTTGAAACTACTTAGATCAGTGGTTCTCAACCTTCCTCATGCCGCGACCCCTTAATACAGTTTCTTATGTTGTGGTGACCCCCAAACATAAAATTATTTTCGTTATTACTTCATAACTGGAATTTTTCTACTGTTACAAATCTTGTAATGTAAATATCTAATATTCAGGATGTATTTTCATTCACTGGACCAAATTTGGCACAAAAACCCGATACGCCCAAATTTGAATACTGGTGGGATTGGGGGGACGGGACGATAATGATTTTGTGATTTGGTTGTAGTTGCTGGGATTTATAGTTCACCTACAATCAAAGAGCATTCTGAATTCCACCAACGATGGAATTGAACCAAACTTGGCACACAGAACTCCCATGACCAATAGAAATACTGGAAGAGTTTGGTGGGCATTGACCTTGAGTTTTGGAGTTGTAGTTCACTTACATCCAGAGGGCACAGTGGACTCAAACAATGATAGATCTGGAACAAACTTGGCATGAATACTCAATATGCCCAAATGTGAACACTGGTGGAGCTTTGGGAAAATTGACCTTGACATTTGGGAGTTGTAGTTGCTGGGATTTATAATTCATCTACAATCAAAGAGCATTCTGAACCCCACCAATGATAGAATTCGGCCAAACTTCCCACACAGAAACCCCCATGACCAACAGAAAATACTGGAGAGATTTGGGATGAATTGACAGTGATTTAGGGAAGATGTAGTTCACCTACATCCAGAGAGCACTGTGAACCCAAACAACTATGCCAAAGGGATTCCTAAGACCATTAAAATGTGTTTTCGGATGGTCTTTGGTGACCCCTCTGAAACCCCCTGGTGACCCCCCCAGGGGTCCCGACCCCCAGGTTGAGAAACACTGACTTAGATGGACAGTGAGCTGTGCTGAAGGTCAGGTGCTCACCCCTACCCAGGCTTCAAACTGCCAACCTTTTGATTGGTAAATATCTATTGCTACTAGTTATTAACCAGCTGAGCTAAACCCCGGTTGGTTAATCACCAGCATAAGTATATTATATAAAAGTATATATACTTACATTATTTATACTTAATCTGCGTATCTTTGTCATTCACCCCCTTTTTCCCGCTACACAACCTTTCTACTTTCCCATATTTCTTATATGAAGGGTTTAATCACATTAGCCACATTTTTAAATTTATTTATTTACTGTATTTTTACCCCACTCTATCTCAAATCGAAGGGGACTCAGAGCAGCTTCCAAATTGGCAATAATTCAATGCCACATTAACATAAGACAAACAAAATACAATATACATTGTGTGTTAAATCATGAAAATCATAAAACACTAACATATAAATACATAAATAAGCTGTTAAAAGATTACACATAGACTAAAAATCATAATCCAGAAGCCGTTCCAATCACATTGCCATTATTATCTATACACATAATAAAAGT